GCGTCCCTTCCTCCATTAGTATCCCAGGAAGAGGGACCCAAAGGCGGGATGACTGAGATGACGCTGACGCTCCCGCCAGCCACCCACGCCTCCCGCCATCCCTAGTACCCGCTACAGGGCAGAACCAGGTGCCTACTGACAGCTCGAGTGTCAACAGGTGGAGGTGGGGCGGGATTCAGAAACAGGATGAGGAGGGAATTCGGTGCCGCACCGCTACGGAACGGCGGAAGGAACACCACAGGGCGGAAACGCGCCTGCTCCGGGGAGGCGCGCAGTAGCACTCCGTAGTTACCTTGGTGATACAGAAGTTATCTCCACACGGGCACGGGTAGAAATAGGTCTCCGAGTCCTCGTCATATTGGAAGTCCTCGATCTCCACTTCGTCGTGAAACACCGCCATGTCACTGGGTCCAGGGGAGGCCTGTCACCCCGCCGTCCGACTACTTCCCTGGATGGTGTAACTTCGCGGGCGCCTGCCCCCGCCGGGCGTTGTCACCACGCACCGGTTCAGGAACGATCGCTTCCGGCGCACACAACTGCGCAACTCCTGGCATAGCGCCAATTGGATAACCGGGTATCAGTCACCATGGAGATAGTTGAGCTAGGGGGCTGAGACGCTGGAGGACATCGCTCGCTGCTTAAACCGTCGCGCACGGCACCGCCCATCGGACCGCAGCGACCAATCAAATGTGGGGATAGCTCGCGCTTCTGTTATGTCACGCCAGGGGCGCCGGAAGTTCTGCTACGCGGGTGGTGGCGGAGTTTGGCCCTCCTCTGCGAGTTTGGTCGCATTGCGGCGGAGTGGAGGCCACCTGTGTGGAGGCCTGCTGCTCTGGCTGTGGTAGCCCCGCTTCTGGTCCACGGACCTCAGTGGGGCTCTTAACCAGACCTCGCGGAAGGTTGAGGCAAGCTAAGTAGCGTCGACTCGGCCCTCAGCGCCCTTGGGAAAGGGGGCGCCGCTTTGCTTGCTTGGAGGCGGCGTGGGAGCGTCTCAGTCTCCTGGGCCCCTCTCCCTGTCGCCCCCGTGACGGCGAAAAGTCCCCATGGAATCTTGATTCACTGAGTGATCTTGAGCTCAGGGCGACGCCTAGCTTGTAGTTCCTGGCCGCGTTCGATTTCAAGGTACATCCTTGCTTTTTCCTCCCCCCGTCATCTTAAGATGCCCTAAACTGTGTTGTTCTAAGAACTAAGACTTGGAAGGCAGATTTAATTCTATCCTATGTTTGCCAAGCATATAACATATTAACTACGGTGATTTGTAGTAACATCACCTTTTACGGTTGGGAGTTTGTACCAGGTATAGCGCCAAGTACAGTTATTCCACGAACTCTGGGAGTTTAAATGTTTTTCCCTTATTAATCTACAAACTGAGATTGAGTTGGGTATCTTGACCACATCAAAGAAATGAAGAGCTTAATCTATCCCCAGAGCCTAGGAACAAATTAGGTAATTTATGGGAACCACGGTCTTTTTCTTTCGTTGTAAAGGGAGTGGTATCAGCAAGCAGAGTTATTGCTTGAGACCTCTGTATACCTTTAAGCAAAATGCGGATACTCAGGTGGTTTGCCTTGAAAGCAGTGCTAGTGGCTGCTTTGGTACAACCGGATCCCATGGAGGTATTTCTCCATTACTCCTGGTAAGAGCAGGAATGCGGTGCAGTGGAAACACTGAGTAGCAGTTCAGGGTTCAGAATCTGACTTGGGAACTAGCTCTGGGCGTTGGATATTTACGTTCTTGGGGCCTTACTTCCTTCTCTGAATAAAAAAGGATTGGATTAGAGCTGATCTACCAGATCCTTTTCAGATCTAACCTTCAACTTTTGCATGAATTATATAGCCAGGTCTACTTGGTTCTGCAGTCACATATACCATATTTAGTTTATATTTACAAGTATGTGTACATGATACATGTATACCCATCTCTACGCTTGTTTGTACACGCTGTGGTGAAGTTTCACCTGGCTTAGCCCATTTAAAACTTGAAAACCTAAAGGCAAAGGAGTGTTTGAGAGAAAGTCAAGAAGTTACATTAAAGGATGTACAGAAGATTATCTCAAAGGCCTTACAAAAGCTCTGTTTATGGTAGTTGGAGATATATCCAGAAGTTAAGAAACATTTGTTAAACATGCTTAGGGTTAACTGGGATGATTCTGGTCTTTCTCAGCAAGGGGAAATCCCAGCCAACCCCACCTAGGTTGGTGGCTGTTCCCTGTGTCTCTGTAGACACAGACACTTCCCAAGTATCCTGTAGGTGACAGGAAGACAGGATGTCTACTCTGTAATCCTGTTGATCCTTTTGAGGTTGGGAACCATGGTAGTGCTTCTGTGCATAGGTACCTGAAATTAAAGGTGAGCCATTTTTTAATGTACAGAAATGGATGCAATCATGTTTGGTTCTTGGAAGCATAAATTGGTAGACCTTTTAGAAAGCAGTTTGGATTTAGTGAAAACAGTTCACTGGGGAATCTTAAAAGCTAAAGTTAGTAGCCCTAAAAGTTATAAGACTTGGGTAATTTTTCTTGGTAATTTCTTTGTAATTTTCCAACTTTTATTTGAATGTGTATTACCTAAAAAGGAAAAAGAAAAACTAATGAACCACTTATTAATAATAATTGATACTGTGTGATAGGCACTGTATCAAATGGTTTATATGCATTATGTCATTAAAGAAGCCCAATGAGGTATAGGTATCATTAATCCCACATTCAACATTGGGAAACGTGGGTTTAGGGGCTAAGAAGCTTGCCAAAGCTGGTAAATGGCAGTGACCATGTGAGAATTTAGATCTGTCTGACCCCAGAAGCTAGGCTCTTAATTAATTTCAAAATCATCTGTGATAATGTTGGCATTGAAGTAGAGCTAGATTAAACATACAGCCTGGAGCTCTGCAGGCTACTGAGAGTTTCTGGTAGAATAGTGCAGATTCCCTTGAGACCTAGATTTGGGGGTCACTTTGGCCTTCCATACTACTTTCATCCTATCTGGCCATACCCCTTGTCTGGCCAGGGGTGGCTCCCTCAAGGTTCAACCCTGTTTTAGTTCTTACTGTGCTGAAGAAAGTAAAACCATAGCCAAATGTGATGCAGTTTTTTTATTCTGTTCAGTATTTTCAGATAAAATACTACAATGACTATTAAACTTCACATTTACTCCTAAAGGGGAATGGAAACATTCTGTAATGAGACATTTTTGGACCCTGAAAGTGTGACAAAAATCAAGTTTATTGGTTGCTATAGGATCGTTTGGGGTCACAAATTTGTGTTTTAAAAGAGCTTTTTTAAAAGCATACAGTGCTAATAACAGCACTGATCTGGAAGATAACAGTGACCAAAATTCTTAACATAAGATCTAGTGTAGAAAGTTCACAGTTCTATAATACAAATTATTTTATGAGTGCTGCTGTAGATCAGGCTAAAGGGAGTTGTTTTTTGACAGTATCAAACCCCTATCTCTCTAGATTGCAGGGAGGATTAATGTATTTGTGTTGATTTTTAGTAACACTCTTGCCAGGTATTTCCATAGACATTTACTCCTCTCAGCAGCCCAGTGAGGTGGTGGCAGCATTCCCATTGAAAAATGAATTAAAAAACAGTAAGAGGTGATTGGCACAGGATCAAAAAGCAGGAAGGGGTCAGATTTGAGCCCATTTCCATGGACTCAGTGTCAAGTGCTCACCGAATACCTAATGCTGGGAGCCCCTTTGTCTCCTCAGTGGCACTTAGGATTCCAAATCAATAGATGCCATGATAGTTATGCGAAGTTAGTTTATTTCAGTGCATTTTTGCTCTGAGGCATTGTGGGCTTCTTTCTCCATGCTCTCTCACATGTCATCCAATTTGTCAGCAAGCCACAGGACTCTACTAAAACAGCCCATGTTCATCTACTTCTGTCATCTCGGTGGCTTTATCCTCCTCGAATCTTAGAGTGGAGCCTTCTAATTTGCCTCCCTGTTTTGACTCTCCCCCTCTGTGATCCATTCTTTACCTAGCAGCCTGAGCCTTCCTTTAATGTGAATTAGAGCATGTCCCTCTCCTGGTTTATTCAAACCTGTCAGTTGCTTCCCAGTGCCTGTGGAATAAAGTCCATACCCTTACCATGGCCTGAGTGACTGCCTGCTTGGCTGCCATCTCACACCACACCCGCCTGCCTCACCACCCTCCAGTCATGCTTTTCTTCTATCCACTGCATTTGTTTCTGTGATTGGGCCTCTGCCCAATGCTCTTCCTCTCCCTTCAGGTCTCAGCTCAGTTACCTGTTTTTGGATACCTTTCCTGATATTCCCCCTCTCTTATTTTCCTTATCATACTTATTGTAATCTGTAATTGTCTTGTTAATTGCCTGTTTACTATTATCTGTTGTACATGGTACTAAAAGCTTCCTGATTGGCCATGGCCTTGTGACTGGTTATTTATTGTGTCTCCATGGCCTAAAATAAATACTGCCTGGCACCCCAGTAATTATAAATTGTTATAAATTGAAACCAATATAGTTCATTTTAAATCCTAAATTTTATCTTTTTTTTGCAGTAATTTTTTTGCCTGCTTTAGTGGATATAAATTTTATTTAGCACTTATGATTATTCTCTGTGTTTCAGAAATAGAGTTAAGAATTTTTGGGTGAGGTTATGTCTGTGAAGATAGAATCATTGATGGAATATTTTTCTTGTATGGTTTTAGAAATTACTTAATATATGTTAATTTTCTATAGTTAATTAAATACTTATATTGAATATTGAAACCATTGGACTTATTTCAAAAAATGGGTAGTTGTTTTTAATACCTTAGTGCCTTGGAAGGCGCTTTGAATACAATGTGATTAAAATACTCTTTATTTTCCAGTAGGTGGCACTTTTGCTCATGGTTAGTATGGTTACAAAACAAGATTTTAGATTTTTAAAGAGAATAGCTTTTAAAAATTAACATTTCTATGTTTTCCAGTTCATTTGAGTTGTAGACCATCTAAACAGTATAATCATTAGAGATGTATCTTATGTGAGGACAGTTTATTTTAGCAGTAGTTGTCTAAAACGTTAAGCAGAGCAGTATTTATATATTTAACTATATTATCAGTTAAATTTTATCAGGGAACTTGGCCTTAAATGACACATAAGCGTATCATTCCAGCCATTGGTTTGGTCTTTTCATGGGGTGGATATCCGAAGTAGCAGGAGTTAAAGATAGGCCAGGAAAGATGAAAAAGAGATCAGTAAGAGAATCAGAAAGGGGAAGTGGGAACAGGAGGAGGAGGAATTGACAGAAGGGGAATTGAAAGTAGTCTTGCTGTGAGGTGATTCTTGCTGATTATACTGAGCCTTTCCTTTGTAGCTAAGATATAGTACTTTTTAATAGTTTCCCAAAACATTGTTCTTATATGTTGTCTCTGCTATTGCAGGAACTTTGTGAGAATTTCAGTACATGGAAACACTGTTTGTGTTCCAACCAGTGTACATCCAAAGGTCTCAGTTTAATACCAGGACCAAAATATTGCATGTCAGTCAGCCAGCCAGCCACAGCTTTAATGACTCCTAAAATCTCATGGACTTTTAACGTAAGTTTTGCCTTCTTCCAGTGATTAATGTACCAATTTTGGTTTAGCACAAAGGAGAGAAACTACATGTAATAGTCTTACATGAGGTGAATGAGTCCTTATACTTTTATTTACTAGAGAGAAAATAGTAGCATGTTTATACACAATGATGCTGTGTTATACTATGGCAAGAAATACATGTTTTATCTAAAGACCAGTTATGAAGCAGTGGCTTTTTGTTATGATTTGGTTATAACTATGTAAATTATATATGACTTATATCACCACTTGATTTATTTACTTTTATTTTATTTTCTGTCTCTATCTTCTAAAATGTAGTCTCCCTAAGAATGTCTTTCTTAGTTTTTGTGTATCCCCAGTGCCTGCCACATAGTGGGCTCTTAATAAATATTTGTCAAATGAAGGACTAAATGCATATAGAGTAGGAAAATAAGCACACTTGGCTTGGTTAGTTTTCTAACACAAGATTTATTATGATTGGTTTATATAGTACCTTCCAAAGAGCTTAAAAAAAAATGTGTTCACATACATTTTTATTTATTCTTCAGCTAACTAATTTAGTAAAGGACAGATATATATGGCAAGATAGCATGTTAAAAGTGGCCATTCTAGGCAAGGAGATACTTAAATATTGGCGGTGGAAAACAGAATGAGAGGAACCAAAAAAAAGTCATCTGTCCACTGAACCAGTGCTTTCCCTGATAGACCAGTAGTTTTTAGAATTTGAAATGTTGGGGAATGTTTCTGTTTCTGTTTTTTTTTTTTTTTACTTTTTATTGAAGTATTATATAATGTAGAAGTACATAAATCCTAAGACAACAGCTTGATTATATTTTTTTTAGAGCAGTTTTAAGTTCACAGCAAAATTGAGGGATCAGTCAACAGAGGTGAGGCTCAGAACCTCACCCCCCCCTGCTTTGAGAGAAATCTTCTGCATCCGTGGATGTCTTGCTGCCCTTGTCTAGCCTGGATTAATACTTAGCCCATAGGCACACACCTTATCATCTGATCATCTACATTTGCCCTCTTACAGCACTAAACTATGTTTTCTACCTTTATCTTGCATCTACCTACCACTTCAGCATTTTATTAAAAATAAAAATAATAATAATAATAGGAGAAATGTGGGATCAACATATAAATCAAGTACAAAAATCAAATGAATATTCATATTTGACCTGATGGTTTATAGGTCATATTGCATGATCAAAACC